TTTTCTGGTCCTTTTATTTTTTTTTCCGCACCTTGTTATAATTTAGTCTTATTATCCCTTACTAGTTTTTCTTGTTGTCAGAAGAAAGAACAGAGGATGTTTTCCATCATGAAGCCACTGAATGTGTTAGCTGCAAAGCACTGTACTCGTGCTTACTAATTAATTTTTGTGTTAATCCTGTTAGATGGGCTCGGTATTACTGTCACTTTAGAAACAAGAAGACAAATGAAAGATAAAGTGTTTTCACTGAAGTCACAGTATATGCCAAGGATGCGGTTGTCATTGGCAATTATATGTTTTTTCGGTCTATATTGCCTTCCAGGGCTATGTTTAGGTAGCAAACTGTGGGCAATTTGTTTATGGAAGTGCCACCTGACATTCAAAATCAACCTGGTTTGTCTCCGGAGAGCAAGCCGTGGGGAATACTGATGCTGTCACCTCGATGTGCGACTGAAGGGATAATTCTTCCTCTCCACTACTACTTGCAGCGGTTTTATCTTCTGAATTAATCCAAACACCCTTATTGCAAAGGGCAAGCTGTATGATGAAACCTGGAAGTGCAAAGGCATATAGTGCATACAGGTATTCCTCTAGTGGTTTTAAGTAATTAAATGTGGTATAATTGCTGCATTTCATGAAAATACCCTTTGCTTTTGCTGCTTGTTAAGTATAATTTTCCAAAATAACAGTGCTGCCTCATCAAAATCAGGATTGCATAAAATTGCTAGCAGTGAGTCTCATGACCGGCACTCATATATCTTTATAAATAGCAATCCCCATGGCTCAGTGCAAAAACTGACTTTAAGAAAATCCCCAGGAGAGTAAGTGGTTGCTTATAGGCTGATTAAGATCTTGCTCCCTGCGGCTCCTTTCCTGCTTTTCGTGCCACCAGCTTTTCTCAGTGTTTCAGAGCTTGACTCCTGTCAGTGACACTGATGCCCAGACCCAGGTTTGATGGCTGCTGCGGTGCTGATCACGCTGACAGCTCCTTGTCCTAGCTCAACATGAGAGACTGGCGTGACAGACATGAATTGGCATGTGCATTTCCCAGGACAATAGATCTCTCATCTCCGATGCTGCTTGTCCTTTGTTTGTGCTCTTGGGAAGAAGTTTGAAAAAGTCTATGTGGATGTTTAAAGGGCACCAAAGGATGGAGAAGCTGCTGCACTTATGGATGATGCTTTTGACTAATCTAATTGCAGGTCTTAAACTCATTCTTGTGGGTGGCAGAAGCACTTTCAAAAAGTGTCTTTATCTAAAATGAAGGCTGGGTGAGTGCAGAGGGCTGCGTGCTCTGGGGTCCACTCTTGCCACAACACTACGTCTTACCCAAATTCAGTGTCATGGAAAGGGAGGTGGAGGTGGCAACGAAGAGACAGAGGCAGAAGATGTGGGAGGGCAGCCCACGCTTCCCTTACGGGGAGCCAAAACTGATCCCGGTATGGTAAAACTGGAGAAGTGTTGGAATTCTCTACATCTTGCAGTGACTGGGATAAATACAGGCAAATGTTCCCATTCAAGATGAAATACTTTTGTGGAATAAAAAGGCTTTGTTTTCACCCTCAGCCTGGGAGGGTTTGGCCCATGAGAGGAGCTGCAAGAGAGTGATGATCCTGGACAGAAAGCCCTAGGGCACCTCCATCGCAGTGTCCATCCTCCATGACCCTGCTCGGGGCCTGGGTGTCTTTCTCAAAGCTCAGAAACATGGAGCCTGAACAGGACCCAAACCCTTTTCTGCTTCTTCCACTCTCCAAGAGTTCATGCCTTAAGGATTAGGGGTAACATAACTCTCTCCTCTTGGTAGATAGTATCATCTTATGAAATTGCACGGAGTAGCAGCTTGCGATCTCAAAAAAGGCTCCATTTTAACAGTAAGTGTTCATAAATCAAATTGAAATTTCAGTGCCAGGAAGTCAGAATTTTATTAATGGAGTAAGAAGCGTGCTGGAAAGAAATCAGAGCGGGCAAGTTGTGGGAGGGAAGAAGAAAATGAAAGACCCATTTGAGGCAATTGTTAAATAATGAAAGGAAAGGACAAAAGGGGCAGAAATAGAATTTTGTGCGCTTTCCTCGAGCTATTGTCATTTAGAAAGGTTTCAGCAGGGAAATCACAAGTATATATAATGTATTTTTTGATGTACAGTGGGTACTTTCTTAGCTGTTCTGAAGCATTTGTAATGCAATACTAATCTATTATGAAGCACAAAAATCACTCTTATTTTTTCATAGGCTGGAGAGAATAGTGGACCTCAAATGCACAGCTAAAACTGATCCTGTATTGTACATGGCCTTACACTTGTTAACATGGTTCACTGTTTGAAACTTAAGGGTTTAAAATCCTAGTTCAGATTTGTTCAGACTCTAGTCAGGACAAGGACGGACTGGGGGAAGGCTTGCTTTGTCCTGCCATGCGTTTCACTTGTTTCAAAATGATTTAACTTTGAAGTGGTTTCTGTATATTGTATGGTCTTGGGGCATTTGAATCACAGAATCATTATGGTTGGAAAAGATCTTCAAGATCATCAGGTCCAACATAAGCCCCTCAACACCATCCTGCTACACCGTGTCCCTGAGCGCCTCATTTACACGTGTCTGGAACACTGCCAGGGCTGGCGACTCCACCACTTCCTTGGGCAGCCTGTGCCAGTGCCTCACTGCTCTTTCCATGCAGAAATTCTTCCTAATGTCTAACCTGAACCTCCCTGGTGCAGCTTGAAGCCGTTTCCCCTTGTCCTGTCCGTAGCTATTCTGGAGATCGACCCGCACCTCACTAGGACCTCCTTCAGGTGGTTGTAGGAGCGATAGGGCCCTCCTTGAGCGTCCTCCTCTCCAGACTAAACAGCCCCAGCTCCCTCAGCCGCCCCTCATAAGCTCTGTGCTGCAGCCCCTGCACCAGCTCCGCTGCCCTTTGGACACGCTCCAGCACCTCCACTTCCCTGTGGTGAGGGGAAGCTCCTGAACACAACCCTTGAATGGGACAGCTGCTCGTGTCGTTTCGAGGAGTCTGCGGATAAGGATGGTACCATGTATTTATTGTGGGTTTTGGCAAGTGTGATGTCGTCGTCTCTTTGCAGACTGTGCTCTTTTCACACACTTAGACTATTAAGATTATTATACTTCAAAGTTTTGCAATGGAGATAATTTAAAAAGAATTATTCCCAAGTGAGAAAAAGCATCTTCAAAAACAGGCTGTAGCTTTACTCGGCTACTTGGAGACCGCAATCAGCAGGTAAGGGAAGAGATGCAGAAGTAACACGCCCCAGATACCAAAACAATGTTTGCTAAAGAAATTAAAACACTTTCTCTATAGCCAAAGAATCCAGTTTAATTAACTGGCTTAAACAATACACTGAAACTTGTCTAATTTTGAATTACAACTTCTAATGACAGATCAAACAAAAAGCTCTTGAAATTCAGATTAAGGCAAAGCTTTAGGTGAATAGGGAATGGATTGATAATGAAGTACTTGAATGAAGTGCAAATAAGAATAAAAATAATATTTTCAGGACAAATGAGATTAAATTTTTATGAAATCTTAAGAGGGTAGTTCTGCTCATTATAACATTTGCAGGATAGGAGTACATTGCCTTCATTTACAGTCTTTGATCTGTAAGCGCAGGACACCAAAGTGCATATGAACTGTTATTATAAATTAATCTATTTGATATATAGCTTTACCCCCATCGATGTGCAGCCACAGGCAGAGAAGAATATGATATATGACTTAACGGTTCTTGGCAGATAGGGCTGACTTGTAGGAAAGATTAAATGCAAATCGCAACTCAGTGTGCAAAGGATGACAACTTCTAGGCCTTTTGGATCTTTAATTTAGAGAGTGGAGGGAAAAAAAAAAAAAGAAAAAGCCTGCCATGGGGCTGGTGCCCATTTCTGCAGTGTGAATTGTGTAAATGTTGGAATAGTTATTGTGCAAATTTTAAGAAGACATTCAAGTGCTTCGTTTTGCCTGATGAAGAACACATGCCAGACAGAGTCAAATTGTCGGGTGTATTCCCCAAGATAAGTGGATAACAAATTTTAATCTAATCTGAATAGTGGAAAAGTTGCAGGAGCAGGAAAATGTATGCTATTGGGATAAAACAGTGGTGCAGGGAGTCCCACTGGCTCTGCAGCAGAGCTTGTGCAGTCCTGGAGTGCTGCTTCCCTTCTGGGTTACTTGCTAGGCATGAAACTCTTCTATTGTCAGACAGTTAAATAATGTGAATATTGAGTGCCCCATTTTGCTGTTTCATCAAGCGGAAAGCTAAGAAACCTCAAATGTCATTACTGGAGTAAATAGATTCCACCTTAAAGTCAATTAAGTCCAGTGAAACCCCACCACAGAACATAGCGGTTGCAGTGAAAAGTGAAGTACAGGATTTCCTTTGGTAACACAGTTTTGCTCTTTCTAAGGAAAATTAAATTTATATGCAAGAGGGAGAGCTGCATTTTTAACCCTGCTGAACAGTGAGTGATCTGACGGTGCACAACGGGGTGCAGCAAACACAGCTTGGTGTGCAAAGCTGTACAGAGCTGAGCAGCTGCTCCCAAACCCGCTGGCTGTTTTTCCACTTGGGATTTTTTTGTCACCTGAGTAGCACTCCCTACGTTGGTCTAAAATTAGAGCCTAGATTAGGAGGGGAGCAGGGAGGAAACCAAAATACTTTCCTGACAGTTCAGCCACTAGAGTGTTGTTGTTGGTTTTTTTTTTTAATCAAGGCAACTCAGCTAGATTTCAATGATTTCAGTGTTCTGGGATTCCTCCCACCTTTTAGAAACAGATACGGTGAAACTGCATCTCCAGCTTTGCAGCACAAACTATTAATGTGTGTTTTAGTCTAAAGCTGTCAGAGTGCAGGATAAGCTTGTAACAGTTTGGCTTTGTGGTGACCTCTGGGCCCTCAGGCAGCTAGGGAACAGTCGGACCAAGACAACAATCGCAAAATTGTGCAGAAAGCTGACAGCAGAATGGCAAACTCCATGTCACTGTTTTGTCTTTACAGGCCGGGTTTCCTTCTTCACCTCTGGATCGGAGAATCTTCATCGGGTGGAAAAGGTTCGCTGGGGCACTCGCTATGCCATCACCATCTCCTTTACTTGCAACCCCGACCACAGCATTGGGGATCCAGTCTTGACGTGATTCTTCCTGGGATGGAGCCACGAGGTCAAATGGAATGAGAGAAGCCCTGCAGGGATGAGGAAAAAATGTAGATAACATCTGGTGTAAACTCATGTTCAATTTGAATTTCCCAATTGATTAATATTTTGTAATACATCTCATTTTCACCGTGTTGTTTCCACAAGTGGTGCACACAGTGCCTTAAGGACCAACTTAAATTTGGTGTATTCTGTAAAGGGTTTGCCTTCATGCTCTAAGGGGATAGTTGCAAGCCAAGAAGAGTCCTGGGCTGCTCTCTTTCAATTCTTTTAATTCTTTCATTTAAAAGATGCAAGCCACCTTTTGAACTGCATCCTGCTATGAATCCCCATATTGTTAAACTCTTGTTAGTCTCTTCCATTACTAACGAGCTGTAGAAGGTTTCACCAAAGTTAATACAGCAGAATGAGCGTTATTTTGCTGAACGTACCTTTTATTGATAGAGGAATGTATTCTCCTGGAACTTACTTGAATGTGGGTTTTGTTTGTTTGTCTGTTTTTCTAAGTGAATTGTAATAAGGTTGACACCCCCATACAACAGCTAGGAGCTCTTTATGGCAATGGCTTGACCATGCAAGCCTGTCCTTGGTGCAAATATAAAAGAGGGAGATCGATAGAGGCAGTCAGAGAAGTCTTCTGAATTCATCTGAGCAAGTAAGTCCCAGCTAGGACAGCAGGACTTGGGAGAAGACAGAGCTCAGGAGAGCGCTAATTCCTTCAGGTTTTCCATGAGCCAGGTCTGATCTCCTTAGACTCAATCCAGTAAATCCCGTCTTGCTGTGTGGAAGGCTGGGGAAAAAACCACCAGTGAAGGAGACTGTCAACTGTCCTGCAACTGTCCTCAACCTTAAATTGAAATGGTCACGGGTAGGAGCTGTCGTACATCCAGGCCAGGCTCAGAAACAGAGACTTTTCATTTTGAAGATCATAAAATACTTTGGAAACATCTCTTTAATGGGCCTAAACTTAAGAGTAAATTAAAGGAAACTTTTATTTTTTATTAATAGTTCCCACAGTTCCAATTCGTGGCATGAAATACTGCATTTGTCTTGTCCAGAGCAATGTTTTCTCTGTTTCAGAAAGCTTCTCGGTAAGTCTTTTTGGATTTTTGTTTAATATGAAGGCTTTTTCTATTAACTGTGATCACTGGTCTGTGGTGTTAATTGCATAATAAATTCCAAGAGATTCAGGGATTCACTGTAATACAGATGGAGTAATAAAACAAATGTATAATCTTGTGAACCATCTTTTTTTGTTATTATAACCAAAGGTGTTTGCAAATTAGCAGATTAGCTTTTCCTACCATTTACTGATCTCTTTTTTCTCAATCAATTTTTGAAGCAAACATGTTGATCGTTTAGTAATACTCCCCAAATTTCTCCAAAATTCTTTGAAAAGCTGGGAATATGGTGTGTTTTTTTTCACCCAAGTTTCAGTTTCATCTTTCTTTTAATCTACCTTTCAGTGAGTGGGAAATACTAAATACCGGGGCATTACACTGAAGATCAGGATAAAGAGGCACAGTGATTGAACACATGCATCTCTTCTATGGGTGGTATTCCCACAAGGCACACAAGCAAGCTGAGTTTTCTGTCACTTCATTTTCTTTGCTTTGAAACATGAAAACTTGCTAGCAAGGAACAAGTGTTACAAGAATCGTTGCTGGGAAATAGTGAAGTTAGTTGGGCTCTATCTAGACACTTGTTTCATATGCTGTTAATTCAAAGTTTGCATTATACTGCAGTAGTTTACTGTATGGAGATAGGTCAACATCACCAGCAACAGACTTATTGGTGGGTTCAAACTCAGTTCCTGCCATTATCTTGTAATTTAAATATATCTGGCCTTTTCAACACAAATACTTGATAGTGTTGGAGCTAAATACCTGGGGACCTGTGGATCTGGGTTGTGATTCTCCAGGTTGAGGTCCTTTGATCTAAAAATTCTCACTTCCCTGTATGTCCTATCACTGCTGTGTAATAACACTGACACATGAATTAATAGAGCTTTGGCACGCTGGAAGTGTTTGGTAGTCCCTTCTGTCTGCCAGGCAGGTTTGGAGTTGCACTAAATCAAAATGACACTTTCAGAGCTGCCCTCTGTAAAATACTGCTCAACACGTTACGTCTTGGGGGAAATCTCAGCTAACCTCCTCTCAGGTTTTAATCTTTTGGAGACCCTGTGCATTGTAATGTCTTCAGATCACGGTGCGTTCCTTCCACGCTGTGAATTGACTGACATTCAGAAATAAAGTCAACGTGGGACGAGTGTTGGCTGGATTTTTTAGCTTCAGTAATGCATTCAATACGATGACCAAAGCTGTCAAGTGCAATTTGTGAAAATCTTGTGTGTGCTGCACCTTGTAAAAGGTGCTGGGGGGGAGGAAAACCAAAAAGTAGTAGTTCAGTACATTTTGTGTTTTAATACTGAGATTTTATATTTGATGCTTCAATATCCAATTTCAAGAAGCAATACCTAAAACTATGGAGAAATTAAACAGCAAATGAGGAAATACAGGACCATCTAAAAGATTCTGGTCATAGCCTCCGGTGAGAGAATACTCATCCTGGAAAGGCCAATGCTCCCAGGGCAGATTGGAATTGTAGAATTCAAAGACCATTAGAAATTATCTCGACTACCTTTAATTTACTCCACTTAAATACACAGAATGCCTGGAGTTTAAATAAACTTTCTATATAAATATATATATTTAAAGGTATCCCTCTGCAAATGCTTGATTCTAATTCTGATTTTGAAACACTTTCTAATTTCTTCTGATATCTCTGTTCCCTGGCAGGTTCAGCCTCCCGTTGCAGTGCTGGTTCTTACACCTCCACTCACATTAAGGACAGTCTGTTTGGTTAAACCAGTACAAATTCCATAGCGAGCCACTGAATATGAGCACTTTGACCTGAGTGGAAGGTAGCAGCAGCATTTGCCTTGATGCTTCCCAGTTGCATGAGAACCTTTCTGAGAGCCCTTGCGGTTCAAACCCGGTGGAGTAAGACCAGTGCATGTTCAGGATGAAACGGGACCAAGTTCTGGTGTGAATTTACAGCCTCATTCCTTAAAGTGTATGAAAGCTTTGGGGATGTTCATTTGTGCTGCTAAATAAAAGTATTTTGTAAAGAAAGAGAGAACCTGTTTGTGTGAAACATCCAAGGTAAAACAGAAAAAATAGCACGACACCAAGCCAATCGTGGATCTTGTAAGAGCTTACGCAAGCCTTTCTGAGCTTAGGGAAACTTGTTTCTAAAGGTTTTGGAACACATCTGGATTTTCTGTAAACTTAGCACTTTGTAAACTTTGTAAACATAACAGATATATAAGCTGATTAGTGTTCAGATAAACCTGACTTTCCATCCTCTAGCATGCATTTATTTTTCTAAATTCCATTCAGTCTCATCCTAGAAACTTTCAGTGGACTTGGCATTTCCCATATAGACATTTTCCAATTGTGAAAGCAGTTGTAGAATCAGTGTTTTGTTTCTAATGCTCCAAGAACCAAGTGACAGCCTGAAGTATAATAAGCTCTACCTTAATGGAGTTTCAGCCTGGACATAGTTACCAGGATGCTCCATGCACAAGATATTAGCTTTAGCTTCATACCAGCCATTTAGCTTAATTTCTTAGGTATTTGTTTTTATCCATGAGGTCCACATCTCAACAGGGCAATTTCTGAGATTGTAGCATCAGACTACATGGTAATGGCTAACCCAGAAAACCTGGGTTTGGTTCTTCTCTGATCATCATTCAAAAGACCTTTGACTTTCCCCTCAGTAGCTCGCCTCTCCCTGTAAATAATGACGGCTTTGTTTGCAATACCGAATTCCGCACGTTCCATCCCGAAGGGTTCAGCTCTCCTTGCGCGGGGTTTGCATGTGGATTTGAGTGCTCGGAAGTGCTCGTGTACGGCTTTGTGCAATATTTCTGTCTTGTCCCAATTCTAGGAACAGTAACCAGGAAAGGTTGCTGGAGGTCCCATTTTCTATGCAAAGTGCCGAGGGGGAAAAAAAACAGCCCCCTGTTGCCACTCCAAACAAACACAGAAAATCCCAGCGCCTGTCTGTCCCTTTTAGGTCTCTGGTGTGGAAATTCAACCAAGAGATTCCAAGAATAGCAGAACAGCTCTTGCTTTATGAACTGCAGATGCCTCTGGCACACGTTGACCATCCTCCCGTCATTCAAAAAGGCAGTCGTCTCTGTTCCTCCTGCATCTGTTTAACCTAAACTTGCAAATAAAAAGGAAATCCAGCAGGAGAGTGATCAGAAAGCTTCCTGGCAAAGGCCTACTGCTCCCTGTAAAACACTGAAGGACAAGAGGGTTCTCTGCTTTCTTGTTGTTTTTGGAGACTGCCTTAGGAAGCCCAAGACTATCTTTACATGGTGTTTGCTGGAACCTGCCACTCAGCTCTCTTCTAATGACAATCCCCTTATTCCTAAAGGACCTGTTCCGTTACCACCTGTTCTCCAATCTTCTGCGTGAATCTTGGTGATTTCGACCATCCACGGAAGAAAATCTGACCTATTCCATAAATGCAAATCTTTGTGCCTGTTCATCATCTCCCCTAAGTAACTTATTTTGTCTCTCACTTCTGTCCCAGCATTTTCAGTGCTTCTGCATACAGTGTATATTGAATATTTACTCATAAGCTTATTTACTGATAAACTGGCTCACTGTTTGGGACATATGCAAGATGCTCTGCAAGCAACTGAGTAAGTGGTACTACTTCCATATGAGCATTGGAGAATCAGGAACTTGTATTTCAGTGAAGTGCATTCCCTGAGGTATGAATAGGTATTCTTGGAGCCATAGGGAAGGAAAAAGTCTTACTCGTTTTGTAATCCTTTGCCAGAGCCATATGGGACTGGCACCTACTCCTACAGGCTCCCCATGGACATCCCGCTTCCCTGAGGACATCCTGCGTTGCTTTTTTGTGCTTGCCCGTTAACTTCAACTCTAGGCCTCTCCCTGCTCTTCTCCCTTCCTAA